TAAGGTTCACTTAGTTGATGATCTTTATCCTTTATATTGATCTTGCATGAGTTCTTATGGGTTGTATCCAATGATTCACGAAGGTTCAGCAAGTACTATTGAAAATCACGCTGAGAATGCGTCGTGCCCTTGCTTAAACACATGCACACACACACACACACACACACACTACAGGATCCAAAACCACCACCCCACCTGCTACATACCGTTCGTATCTGCCTCCCTACCATCTACCTACTTACCTAGCTAATTAATTCCCCAACCTGCTTGCCTGTCTTACTATCTGTTCCTGCCTGCCTGCCTGGCCACAACAACAGCAGCACGATGCTCCTGAACATGCAAGGCGCCAGCTTCAACAGCCCTCCCCCCCCACGCCAAGACTTCTTGATGGCAACAACTGCAACAAACAACGGACAGAAACAACGACGATGCCCCCAGCATGCGCCGCCTCAACAATCCCTGCCCTTCTCGCCTTGCCCTCCCTCAGACCCACACCACACCACCCCAAAACACACCTGCCCTTCCTTACCATCCCTCCCTGACATTGACAACAGCGCCACCAGCAGCAGCAACAACAGCAACAACAGCAACAACAACAACAGCAACAACAGCAACGACGACAACGACAACAACAACCACCACAACCACAACCCACAACCACAAAACAGCAACGACAACAACAGCAACAACAACAACAACAACAACACTTGCAGCAACTACAGCAACAACAAAAGACGCCCACAACAACCACCACCAGGACTACCACCACCACGACCACGACCACGAACGACCGATCAACCAACCCAACAACTTCTCCCAACTAACCGACCGACCAGCCGGAAAGTCACGACAGACCAGCCGACCGAAAAGTCACCCCGACCGATCAAGCCACCAACCAACCAACCAAGCAACCAACTTACTGGAAGCCAGAGACAGGGGGAGGGGGTGGGGGGTGAAGGCCAACAAGTTCAGCTTATTTGGGTGGTTAGGTAGAGAGAAACTCACAATTCTTGTTATATCTACATGTGCTGTGCTGACGATCCTGGTCGTACTGCCAGAGCAAGAAATCCTGGAGGAACGAAGCTGCAGCAAGTATACCAGTTTCATCACATGGGTGAGCGAGTGAACAGCAAGAGGCCAGTCGGCCTGTGATGATGTGTTCGCCGCAGCTGCTGCAGCCTGTATAGTAGAACCTCAAAAGTTTGAAACCCTATAGCTTCAATCCCTAAGAGTAATGCTTAGGGAATCCCAGCACTAGTTTGCCTTAATCCGGCTTCCAACTTTAGAGGGTTTGCTGTAGAACATTCCAAAGGTAGCTCCCAGGACCTTCTGTCAAAAGTCATCATCAAGGGATGTATAAGGGATGGGGTTTAGGGTTTGGGTTAAGGGGTTAAGGGTTTAGGGTCCCTTTAATTGGATCTATGAGGGTTTAGGGGTTGAGGGCTTAGGGTTTGGGCGTCAACGGCGGTGCACATCCTCTTGTTCGCCTTGGTCCCTACGCTCCTCTCCGCCAAACGCCAGGCACATGAAGGTGAAGTGTTTCTTACCGTACGTATTTGTTATAGTATAACGGGCCCTATTCTAATTTAATTATTAAGGCCCCTATAATGCCTAGAGCCCAGAACCCTGAAGCCTTCGAAAATCCGAACCCTAAACCAGTAAAGGAACCCTTAAGGGAAAAGTGAAGGAATCCTTGTAAATGTACAAACCTCCAAATCCTAGACCCGAAATGGGGGAGTTCCTAAACCTTAAGCCCCTAAAGGAGCCCGTAAGGGAAACCTACAGGCATTCCTTAAAGGAACCCGTAAGGGAACCCAAAACCTCCAAATCCTAAACCCAAAAATCCCATGGCACCGACTGGGACATGGCACCGATGTCGTTCTTTAGGCCTGTGCTGTGCAGGGCTCGAAGACATTGGGCTTTAGGGTGTAGAGGCTTAATTAGGGCTTTAAGAGTTTTGGGTTTAGGGGCTTAGGGTTTAGGGTGTCGAGTTTTATTTAGGGCTTGAAGAGTTTTGGGTTAAGGGTTTAGGGGCTTCGGGTTTAGGGTTTAGGGTGTAAAAGTTTATGTAGGGCTTCAAGACTTTTGGGTTTAGGGTTTAGGGGCTTTGGGTTTAAGTTTAGGGTGTAGGGGTTTATATAGGGCTTTAAGACTTTTGGGTCTAGCGTTCAGGGCTTGGGGTTTACAGGGTGAGCGGGGGAGTGGGGGTGGCTGGAGTTTATGATTGTAGGGTGTGGTTGAAGTCAGACTCGTAGTAGGGATCTGGCACGTGTAAAGGTGGCTCCTTGCCAAAACCGGTGAGAGCACATTTCGGTCGGCTTTGGAATCTATAGGGTTGAGAGTGTAGAGGTCCCACCTTGTCCCAGGTCTGTTTTAAGAGTGGGCTGGTTCTGATGTCCGGCTACCCGGGTTGGTTTAATTTATTGATTTTTGGGGCCTGAACAACTACGAGTAATTATTGTATACTATACTCCCAAATCCTGATTTAAACTATTCGGCCCCTATGTAACATTGTTAGTGTCGATGTTGTGGCTTCTGCGTCGCAGTTCCTAATTCTGCTTAGCTTGCTGCAGGAAGCAGTTTGATCCTTTTGGGGTTTTGGGGGACTTTGGACGCGCTGTATAGTACCTAAAGGTTCCCCAACAGTACCCTTTCGCCCTTTGTATGCTGAGGTCTCCTTATAAAAGCCGAGTACTATATAGGAAGAAGGGTACCCTTATCATGAAGGGAATTCTGGGGAACGAAGGTACGGGTTCATAAATTTAACAGTTTGGGATTCCGGATTTTGGCTTGGAGGGAAAGAGTTCGGATGTGTTCAGTTGTTCAGGCAAGCTCAGTGTGCACTAAGGTTTTGGGGTGAACAGTCGTATACCACTTGGGATCCATAAGACATTATTGTAGTCACAACCTAAGGTGTAGGATACGTGCTCAATGCCTCGAAGGTGCGATGTCCTCCATCTGTATACCTTCTTACTTGTGACAAAAGAATTGTGAACCTGTAAGAAGATCCTGGAGCCTAGAGACCCGAAGCCGCACGAATCCCAATATTATGGTAGATCCTAAGAGTACTCCTTGGGGTTTAGGGTTTCGGGATATATGCGTCGGAGCAACTCCTCTTAGTACTCCTTAGGGTTCCTTATTTTAGTTATAGTATAGTATACCCCGAGACCCTATTCCAATTGAATGAAGGCCCCTATACAGAACCCTAATAGCAGGCAAGTAGCTGGAACCTTACGCATCATCTTGCAGGCAGTGCACACCGGGGCTGAGATATAAATCCTGAAACTCGCTCTTCGCCGACAGCCTGTAATACTGGGACCATCTGGTACCTTAAAAACGTGGAACAGGGTTGCTGGGTATACTCGTTGACATCTGAAAAGATCAGGAACAGCATGCATGTCGGGGTGAGACCCTAAACCCTGCAAGGAGCAAGCCCAATACCCTATGACCACCAAACCCTGGAGCCTATGACCACTCAAGCCAGAAGCCTCTATCCAGCAAGCCCTAAACCCACCCAAAATGACGAAAGGGTTGGGCTCTCAGTCATGGATTTGTAGAAATACTATCCTACACTATATACTACATTACACTATACTCTACTCCACTCATCATACTATATACTACTGTACCATTGTAGGGACTTACGACCCCAGAAACCCAGAAACCCCCCGGAAACCCAAGATTTGCATGTTGACGCCGGCCCTGGCCGCGGTTCATCATGGCTTAGTCAGGTGTCAGCTTTGCCTTAGATCCCCAATACTATAGGGGCCTCAGGGATCTCTAGGGCTCCCTTAAAGGGATCTATAGGGGTTCCCTTAAAGGGAGCTATAGGGGTTCCCTTAAAGGGATCTATAAGGGTTCCCTTAAAGGGATCTATAGGGGTTCCCTTAAAGGGACCTGTAACGTACCCAACCTTTAAAGTTTTTGGGCTCTTATAGTTAAGTAGGAGTCGGAAAGGTGAATCTTGTATTTCTGTGGCTTATTGGGTTAGTGAGTTTCATAGCAACGAGGGTTAATAAAGGCGATGGTCACAACAAAACACGAATCCCCTTGTTTAACCCTTAAACCCTTACAGAGCCCGAAAAGGAGTCCTTTGTAGATCCCTTAAAGGAACCCCGAAGTGATGGTTTTGCGGTACTTGCAGCTTTCGGGTTGCGGTTCTCCTGAAAACTGCCAGCATTTCCCACGTCGGGCCTCTTAACAGGTGTTTGAGCCCTGGCTTCCTCACCTGGCACGTCCAAGTCACAGGTCCATAGCATACCTGCAAAGCCAACAAACCAAAATTGCGCAGTCGTTTTTTGTGTAGCTTGGCCGGCTATGCTGCGCATCACGCTGCTGTCAGGGGAGGAGGTGACGAGCCTTCCTCTCACGGAGCTGAGCGATGTGAAGGCCTTGAAGCAGCGACTACATCAGCAACACGGCATGCCGCCGCGCTTCAGGCAGAGACTTCTTCACGAAGGCAACACTTTGGGTGATGCCGTCCAGCTGGAAACCGAGATGGATCTGCAGCTCTTGATAGTGGACTTCGACGAGGCTGCCGAGGTCCTGCGGCTAGATCTCTACGACGCGGCAGGCTTGGGCAACCTGACACAGGTGGGCAAACACACAAATCAGAAGATGAGTTGAGAATTAAGCCCTAAGTGCTCTGTCCCCCCTGAGTGGAAAGCACCTCTTCCTGCTGGATCCTCAGCAAGAGGGATCCCTAGCCTTCTCGAAACGGCGAGGTCGAAAGGCTACTGCAGCTCCCAATGGACCCAGATATTTGTGAACATGAGTTTGGCAAGTGGTACATTACACTGTTGATTCATGCCGCGGAGAACGGCCAAGCAGATGTCGTACAGTTGCTCCTGGAAGCCGGCGCTGATAAGGATTTGTGTGACATGCATGGCTGTAGCCCGTTGCTTACTGCAGCAAAGGGCGGTCATGCACCGGTCGTGCGATTGCTTTTGGAAGCCGGCGCCCAGAAAGATTTGCCCAGCAGTGGCGGGCGCACGGCCTTGATGTGTGCAGCCAGCGAGGGTCACGTCCTAGTCGTCCAGCTACTGCTCGAGGCCTTAATACTTAGAATACGGTTTAGGGGTATATTCTACTATAATGATAATACTTAGAATAGGGTTTAGGGGTATATTCTGCTTTATTGATAATACTGCTGAGAATAGGGTTTAGGAGTATATTGTACTATAATCATAATAAGTAACCTCCCAAAGTGTTGGTACTTGTTTAGGCCCCTATAATTCCGCTCGAGGCCGGCGCTCAAGCGGATGCTTGTGACAATCAGGGCAACACGGCGCTGATCTATTCGGCAATGACAGGTCATGCCCGGGTCGCAGAGTTGCTGCTAGAGGCCGGCGCCGACAAAGAGTTGCGTGACGTCCAGGGCAACACCGCGCTGGTGATGGCAACTACAACCGAAATCCGGCGATTGCTGGAGGTCAGTCCTACAACGTGACCTGAGGCAGCGGCTGCTGATCGCTGAAGACATGAAAAAGGAGGCCGGGAGGCCTGCCTTAGACACAGATGCTACTCAAGAGGGCTCCACTTGGTGTCCGTGAAATTTCAGATGCTTTGCTCTCAAAGTGCCTTCCTTGAAGTATTTATGGCGAGCTCTAAGTGTGGCTCCCCCAAGCCGGCCCCCACTTACCTTAGATCCCCAATGCCCAACCTTTAGACTGTCGGGGTTCTTACAGTTTCGTAAGAATCGGAACGTTCAACCCTTTACTTTTTGTGGCTTATTGGGGAAGTAGGTTCTTGAAGGAAATGATTTAGTTTCCAACCGAGGACCTTTGAGATTTTAAGGCACTTCGGACTTCTGGAGTTTAGGGTTAAGGGATACTTTGGGTACTTGGGTACTGAAGGCTTTCAGGGCTTCTAGAGTACTTAAACCCAGACTCCTTTGGGCTTTTGGGGGTGGTGACATCCAAGGTAGTATCAGGGAGAACCCCTCAAAGAGTACCCTTCTTAAAGCTACTTATGGCCCTCTTAAAAGGGACCTTGTTGAGAGGGTCTACATCCCCAAGGGTCCCCCTAATCCTGTCCTAAATCCTATGACACCTCGAACTGCAGAATTCACCAATAAGGGAGATCTCTAATTTTTCAAGGTCCCAAAGATGGCATACTTGGAGCTTCATGGGTAGTTATAAGCAGGGTTATATGTCCACTAATATGGGTCATAATTATCGTTACCCCAACTTATAACCCCACTTATATAACTACCCTTGAACCTCCAAGTAGGGTTTAGGTTCAGGGGGTTGGGTTCTGCAACCTCCCCAATAAAAGTCTTAAAATGAGCCGTGCATGACAACGGGATCCTGAAGAATATACGAATCCCGAACAGAGCTTCACGCACCATGGGAGCATTGGACATTAGCAGGTAAGGCCATAAGTATCTTAGTCGGGGCGATATGGAACCACTTTTATAATCAACTTTAGGTATTTTTTACCTTCTTTATAGAGCCCCATGATCCTTGAAGTAGCGTGCTACGAAGGGACGGGACCGCGAAGACTGAGTTCAGGGTTTTGCACCGAAGAAGCACTTGAAGGTTCATGGGTAGGTACAAGAGTTACAGGGATCTATAGGGATTCTATAAGGCTATGGGGTTTGGGGGCTATACTCGGAGGTTCAGGGGTAGTTATAAGTGGGTAGTTGTCAAAGTCCCTTTTTGGGTACCCTACATATTAGGTTCCGTACTATAGTTGGGACCCACAAAGGGGCCCTAATTTTGACAACCACCCAAGTGGAGTTATAGTCACGGTACCTATAATTATAACCCATGTGGGTGGTTGTCAAAATTATGGTCCCTTTTTGGGTCCCTATTACAATACGGCACCTATTATTTACTGTACCCAAAAAGGGACCGTAATTTAGACGACCACCCATATTTATAACTACCCATGAAGCTCCAAGCAGGGGAACTGCAGGCCTAGCGATGCCAGATCCCTGATGAAGACCCGACTTTACTGCTCTTAGGAAGTATGTTCTGAGAATAATATATCTCTAGGAGTTTCATAAGATTATGATTTTTGGGCGGCTTAGAACAAGATACAGCCTTCCACCCGAAGCCCCATAGTGTAGTATTGGACCTTCTACGTAGTCGGTTGCCGTGCATATCTGTCGTATATTATGCTACAAAGAGGCATGGTCTCGGAAAGAAATAAGTTTATGGTACGCATTCACCTGCCAAAACCTTGTTTTCTGCAGTTTTTTATTCTAAGCCCAGTTCTTTTGTGAGGTTTGTTGAGAGGGCGTTTTGTCGGGTTTCTTGTTTTGGGAGGGGGTTTCCTAGAGTTGTACAGCGCTGTGTAAGCGTCTTTACAATGGGAGTTGCCAGAGGGTATTGAAGTCCAGAACATTTGTTGAGTGCTTGATGTTGGGGTTTAGGATTTTCGAGAGTCAAGATTGAGGGCTGTCGGGGTGAAGGTTCCAGCATGTGCAGTGAATCACGGTTTTGGGGGCAGGGCCAAGGCCCAAAACCCTTAAACCCTTAAACCCTAAACCCTAAACCCTAAACCCTTAAACCCTAAACCCTAAACCCTAAACCCTTAAACCCTAAACCCTTAAACCCTAAACCCCAAGATCTTGTGGTTTGGAGCGCTCCATGGATGGATTTCGGCTCTCAGAACAGCCAGGCCGAGGCCTTGAATACATAGTCCTTCCTGCCGAATTTCTGCCTGACGTATATATACATATATATATATATATATATATATATTGGGGGCTCCTTGTTATACCTAAGTATAGTACAATATGCCCCCCCACCCAATCCTCTTCCAATAATTAGTAAGGGCCATGCAAGGGCCATGCTGCGCATCACTCAGCTTTCCGGGGAGGAGCTGACCTGCCTTCCTCTCACGGAGCTCAACGACGTGAAGGCCCTGAAGCAACGCTTGCACGAGCAGCACGGCCTGCCGCCACGCTTCAGGCAGAGGCTTCTGCACGAAGGCAACACTTTGGATGACGCCGTCAAGTTGGAAACTAGGTAGGGCTTTGGGACATTTGACATTTTCCCTTATTGGGCTTAAGAGGATTTTATTTACTAACATTTTTCAAAGGCTTTGAAAGCCCCACCTAGGAAAGCGAGATGGACCTGCAGCTCTTGATAGTGGACTTCGATGAGGCTGCAGAGGACCAGAGGCGAGAGCTAAGCGGATCGGCCTGGTTTGGCTATGTGGACAAGGCACGGGCTGCACTATTGACAGAACCGAGCAACAACGTCTCCTGAAATCCTTCAACCCTAAACCCTTAAACTCGCGCAGTTTGCTTTGCTGCAAAGCACAGCAACCTGTTAGATCTCGGAACTCGGTGATTTCTACTTGCAGCTTCATGGGTAAGAAGGTAAACAAACGGAACCCGCTTTCTCAAGCTCTCAGGTTGAAGCTCTGCTGCAGCTCCCCATGCACCCGGATGCTCCAGATAAAATTGGGGTAACTCCGTTCATGTTGGCGTCTCAGCGCGGCACCGTGGAGGTCGTGCAGTTGCTCCTCGAGGCCGGTGCTGACAAGGATTGGCGTGACATGGAGGGCCGTAGAGCACTCATGGCTGCAGCATGCGGCGGTCATGCTCCCGTCGTGCAGCTGCTGTTGGAGGCAGGTGCTCAGAAGGATCTTCGTGATGATCGTGGCAGTACTGCGCTGATAACTGCAGCAGAGTACGGTCATGCTTCAGTCGTGCAGTTGCTGCTCGAGGCCCGTGCCCAGCTGGATACGTGTGACCGTGAGGGCTACACAGCACTGATGAGTGCAGCATGTGATGATCATGGTCCCGTCGTTCGACTGCTTCTGGAGGCCGGCGCCGCGAAGGACGTCCGGAATGAACAGGGCGAGACAGCGCTGACGATGGCAACTGATCCCGAAGTCCGGCAAATGCTGGAGCGCTGAAGTACATGCTTAAAAATTTACCTTTGGTTAGTAGGGAATGGAGGAATGGGGTACAATTGCAACTACTATTGCTACCATTGTTCCATTCCCTACTAACCAAAGGTAAGAAAACGCGTGGAGCAAGGAATCTGTGAAGCCGGGCTTGTAAGGCTGCGAGGGCACTTGCTGCCAGCCCAAGAATAAGAATCCCCTTTCGAGCCTTCTTCCTGGAGATGCCCAGAGAGCCCAATACTCCTTAATTAATGAATATAGCTTAAATCATAATACGAATCCCCTTACAGGTTAAGGTATATTCCTTAATGATGGGGTGTTGGGTTCTCTGGGTAGTCCTTTGCTCGATAGTTGAAGAGGAGTGTAATACAGGGGCCTAGATAATTACCAATACTATTTTTTTTTGGGGGGGGGTTCCTGATTACAATTATAGTAGAATGGGCCCCAAAGCCCTATTGAAATTCCTGAGGCCCTGTCATAATCTAGATCCGAGACCTATCAATTCCTTGAAATCCTCATCGATGCGCGAAACTTCGTAGTCTTTCAGTTTCAAGCGGCGCGTCTCTGACGAGTGTGCCAAAGCTTCAGAACCCTTCCTCGGTAGCTCCGTGAGGGAATGTCCGTGGCAGATTGTCCTGCAGCTCTCCACATAACGATCTCGCTTCGCCGTTAAAGAGTTTCCCAGGTAATGCAAAACAGCAGAGGATCAACACATGTCATAAGAAGGGTACGTTTCGAGAAACTTCGCAACTAACTGAGTGATGAGCGAGAACTAGCAGGGAAGACAATGGCATCGGCGTCACCACCAGCACAGTCTTAGGAAGAACCAAAACTTGCAACAGTACCGATGAGTCGAAAACACTGCAGGCACCGTTCCGGGCATCGCTGCCTGCAGAGCAGCTGAGAGAACCAAGAAGCGGAGGTGGCACAGCAGAGCTCAATACCGCTTCATTGTTCCTTAAAAATTTATCCGCTTGTGGCTTCAGGGTGCAGTCGGTCGAGGGATTCTTTGCTGAAGGGACGTGCAGTACTTACTGCACATTTTTCTCCACCCCAAAGGCTTTCTTAGAGTACCCTGATGTGGGGGGGGGGCTCCAAGTGGGGTAGATAACCTACGAATCCCTAGTTCTCTCTAGTGCTCCCTGAGGTTTTTATAAGGTTCTCTAAGGAACCCTCCCCCCTCAGGACCCTACAAGTTTCGGCCCTATTTACATCCACTTGACAGCAGGAGCAGGGAGTTGCTACGAGGCATGTCGCGTTTCAAGATATATTCATGCCAGGAATGGCCGGGTGGTGGTAGGCTTCTGAGTTTTCATGGTGAGGTTTTGCCTTAGATCCCCAATACCCAACCTTTAACCTTTTTGGGTTCCTATAGTTTAGTAGGAATCGGAAAGTTTAACCATTCATTCCTCTAGCTTATAGGGGGAGTAAGTTGCTGCGTTTCGAGACAGTTGCTTCCGGCTTTGGAGTTAAGTTTTTGCATACACTCGCGACGGCTATGTCGAAAATGCAAAGCCTGGGCCATGTCGTCAGTGAAAGGAAGCATAGAAATAGTTGGGTTATGGGACTTGGTAAGTAAGGTTATAAGTCCCATAATTGGGGTTATAAGAAGATATAAGTACAGTACAGTTACCTTAATTATAACCCTAGTTACTAAGTCCCATGACCCTTTAAGTACCCTCAGACCCCCCCTTATAGAAACCTTACAGATCCCTTTTGAGGAGCCCTTTTTACCTTTAAGGAGCCCTAGTTACTAAGTCCCATGACCCTTTGAGTAGACCCTAAACCCTAAACCCTATAGATCCCTTTAAGGAACCCCTATAGATCCCTTTTAAGGAACTTTAGTTACTAAGTCCCATGACCCTTTGAGTAGAGGGCTTCAAGGCTACCCTTCGTCTCCGGTTTAGGACCCCTGAGCAAACGTGCTTGAGCCTGCAACAGGACATCGATAACAAAAGGGTTTAGGGTTTAGGGTTTGGGGTTTGGGGTTTAGGGTTTAGGATTTAACATATTTTTTTAACTCTATAAGAATGTTTTTTTATCAAAGGCACGCCAACGAGTTGGACTTCGGACTCTCACGAGTCCGGCAAACGGAGGAGCAGAATCAACTGTGAATGTGCTTCGAGCCCAAGCCGGGACGATTCTAGCTGCCTTTGAGGAGCGAAGCAAATGCAAGATTCCCACAGCCCATCCATTGTACTTAAAGGATCATGGGACTTAGTAAGTAAGGTTATAAGTAACTTAATTGGGGTTGTAAGTATAGCTACCCTAATTATAACCCTAGTTACTAAGTCTCATGATCCTTTGAGTGATGTTGGGAAAGATTCCCTCTTCCGACCAGTGGGTGTTTGGCGCCGCTTCTGGGAAGCTCCTGTTAAGCCGCACTGCACGTAGACTGCCTGAGTCGTTGGAGCCTATACTATAGATCCCGACAGTTGCCTGAAACAAACACAGCCTAAATCAAGCCCAGAACAGATTTCAGTTGCGTTGTTATGATGATCTCTCGCCCAATGCATTATAGGCCATAATATGATAACGTATAATGTACCCCAAACCCTGTTCTAATTGCTATCCTTTAGGATTTTCTATTGTAAGTATGGTAGAATGAACCCATCAAACCCCATTCTACGTATTACGGCCCCTAAACCCGAAATCCCTTAACGGAACCCCTAAAGGAACCCTAGTCTAATTCACCTAGTTCTTATGATGACTATAACATAAGGTACACCAACACCCCATTCTAATTAATATCCCTTTAGGCTCCTTATCACAACCACAGTAGACTGCACCCCAAAAATACCGATAGTATAATGTACCCCTCAACCTTGAGCCCTTATAGTACCCTGATCTTACATGCCCTTATCTTCCCTTGAAGGAAGCCTAAATTGAACCCCTTAAAGGAACCCTATTCTAATTCTTCAGGCCCTTACCTTACAGGATTGGCCCGGAAAGAGCTCTGATGAAGACCTGGCCTCCGCTAGGTGCTGAAGGCCCCCCCAGGGGCGTCTCGAAGAAAGTGTTCGAGGTCAGTGCTGTTTTAAAGGCTTATCTATGTGGTGAACAGGCGGTTCAGGGCTTTTAAAAGGGAGGTGAATAGGCGGGCTCCTTTAAAAGCGATTCGATTTGGTGAAAAGGCGGTTCAGGGCTTTTTTAGAGCGGTTTATGTGGTGAATAGGCGGTTCAGGGCTCTTTTAATCGAATTTTGTGTGGTGAATGGGCGGTGCAGGGCTGTTTCAAAAGGGATTTCATGTAATGAATAGGGGGTGCAGGGTTTTTTAGGGGTTTCACGTGGTGAACAGGCGGTGCAGGGTGGTGAATAGCGGTTCAGGGTTTGGGGTTTTGCGTTGGTTGCTGCAAGGCTGCAAACAATTAGGCATTGGCGGCATTGTAGGATTTGCACAGAGGTTTTGTCATTGCTGACGCAGAGAGCGTTCGTGAGTGTTCTCAGGATTTGAGCCTGTTGTGAGGTTTTGCTGGTAAAGGTTTGTAAGGGGCTTTCATGGAGTTGCAAAGGGTTGCAAGGGTCTTAGACTATCCGTTGCATGCTTGAAGTATGTGGGCCCTCTTGGCCTGGGGCAAGCAGTCAAGCAGTACTCTTCTGGGGTCTGTGATTTTGAAGGTGCATGGTCGAGGGCTTTCGGGGTGAAGGCTCTAGCATGTGCCGTGAATCACGGGTTTGGGGGCAGGGTCGAGATAATGCGGCTTGCAGCACTCGATGGGTGAGTATCGGCTCCCCTCAGAACAGCCAGCCTTTCCGAATCCGGGCCTTTGCAAAAACACTGCGACATTGAGCACTCGAATCGTCAACTAGGACTCGCGAAATTGCGCAGCCAGTTGCCTCGTACCCTGCGGCTGGCCATGCTCGGCATCACCCAACTTTCCGGGGTGGAGCTGACGAGCCTTCCTCCCGCGGAGTTAAGTGACGTGAAGGCCTTGAAGCGGCGACTACATCAGCAGCACGGCCTACCGCCACGCTTCAGGCAAAGGCTCCTTCACGAAGGCAAGCCTTTGGATGATGCCGTCAGGTTAGACACCGGGATGGATCTGCAGGCTGTGATTGTGGCGCTCTCCGAGGTTTCGGAGTTCCAGCAGAACGAGCTACACCATGCGGCATTATTTGGCAACGTGGCCCAGGCAGGGTGCCAAACTGACCCAAACTCGTAGGCCTCGCTTTGCCACGACACATCGCAGCCATCTCGTGGTCCTCGGAACCCTGTTTTTCTAGATATTCAGAAAACCGTTGCCCCATGCTTTCTGAAGCTAAGCGAACCTGGGAGCCCATTTGTAGATCCTCAGAAGAACCAGCCACGCCTCCTCAAACCCTTAGGCGGAAGCGCTGCTGCAGCTCCCCATGGACCCGGATGTTGCAGATAAGCATGGCGCCACGCCATTGACGTTGACGGCCCAGGAAGACCATGTGGATGTCGCACAGTTGCTCCTGGAGGCCGGTGCCTGCCCCGACACGCGTGACAATTTCGGCGAAACAGCGCTGATGTTTGCAGCAACCGAAGGTTCTGCTCAAGTTGCACAGCTGTTGCTGGAAGCAGGTGCTCAGGCAGATTCGCGTAGTGACGACAACGTTACAGCGCTGATGCGCGCAGCCTTCAACGGCAATACTTCAGTCGTGCGGTTGCTGCTTCAGGCCGGTGCCCACGTGGATGCAGTTGACAGTGCTGGCAGCACAGCGCTGATGGAGCACGTGAAGGTCATGGTCCCGTCCTTCGACTTCTGGAGGCCGGGGCCGCAAAGGACCTCCGGAATGAACGGGTGGCAACTGATCCCGAAGTCCGGCGACTGCTGGAGGCCAGCCCTACATGACCGAAGCAGGGGCTGCAGAGCGCTGAAGATGTGGACAAAAAGCTTTCCCTAGAAATCAAAGTAGCCCAAAAGCCCTATTTAGTATGGTTTTTGGGCCCAAGAGCCTTAATATATCAGTCCTTAGACCCCTAGGGTTTGAGCTGCGAGGATTTTGTGAAGCCCGACGTGTGAGCTCCAGTTGCTCCTTGAGGCCGGTGCTGACAAGAATTGGCGTGACATGGAGGGCCGTAGAGCACTCATGGCTGCAGCATGGGGCGGTCATGCTACCGTCGTGCAGCTGCTGTTGGAGACTTGTGCGGAGATCATGATGCAGTCGTTCGGTTGCTCCTGGAAGCCCGCGCTAGGAAGGCTGTGCGAAATTGGCCTGGCAAGACAGCGCTGATGCTGACAGATGATCCCGAAGTCCGGCGATTGCAGGAAGCCAGTCCTACAAGACCTGAGGCGGCAGTTGCAGATCGCTGAAGCAAATGCTTAAAAAGTATTGGATTTCGAGGATGCTTCTAAGCCTGGGTTTTGAGCGGGTTCTTGCTTTCAACACAACCCCGGAAAGAACTCTTCTCTGTGGCGACTTGTGGGAACGTCTGCGGAAATTCCTGAAGCATCTCTCGACAGTCTCACGTCGCAGTTTATGGTGCAAACCTACACCTTCCACACATCTGTGACATTCATGGCAAACTGAAGCTGCATGAACAGGAAAAGCAGCGAGGAAAACGGAACTGCCAGCACCATCATCATCATCAGCATCATCACTAGCATCAGCATCAGTAATTCCTCGTCAATCTCATCCTCATCATCATCCTCGTGATCATCGTCATGACCGTCATCATCAGTACCGCCCAAAGAAGGTCTCCTAAAGAAGGCGATCAGGCGAAAGCGCTTGCAGGCTTCGTTGGGAAAACCGCCGAGGTGCGTTGTCGAGGGTCCTCCCGTTTCCGGTGGCTCTTTGGGGTCTCAACAGTTACCAAGACGGGGAGGATCATGGGACTTAGTAAGTAAGCTTATAAGTACCTTAATTGGGGACCCTAATTATAAGTCCAATCCCCAAGACCCTGTTGTAACTAGTTTGGCCCCAAAATAATACGCTAGGGTATTGGGCTGTCTGGGTTTAGGTTGCTTCAGGTATTGAAGACAGATGTGACTTGGGTGTTTAAGCGTAGAGTTTTTAGTTTAGGGTTCAAGTGCCAAGGCTTGGAAGCCTAAGAAACGCGCGAGACAAGCGTTGCACAATACTTCCGCCTCCGGTGCTTGCGGCCACAGTTAGATCCCTGTGACAAAGGCAGTACTATGAAGCAGAACAAGCACCAAAAGACCCTTTTCAAAATGAACTCATAAGGGCTTCAAGGGTGTAGGCTTTAGAGCGCACAATAAACTCATAAGGGATGGCTGGGCGCTGGGGGAGGCTTCTGAATTTTCGCGCTGAGGCGTTGCTTGGGATTCCGCTTTGCCGTTTTGAAGAGTTTGGAGTCACGCCATTGATGACAGGAAGCCGAAGCAGATCAAATAAATCGGTGCCGAGGGTGCGGCCATGATAAGGGCACCTGTAACAGCATGGTTGGTGGTGCCAGCCTTGGAGGTGACTCCTACCCTGACTCAAGCCATTCGCGTTTGAGATGTGGCGCTGAAGGCTTCAGTTCAATGGTCCAAGAGGTTTCAAAAGCTTCCGGTTTGGTGCACAGGTGTAGACTATGCAGTTTCAGAGCATAGGGTTGTACAAATTAAACAATTACCCCGAAACGCTGTTCTAATTAGTCAGAGCCCCATATAAAACCCGTATAGAACCCTGGTACTTGAAGGATCATGGGACCTAGTAACTAGGGTTATAATTGGGGTAACTATACTTATAACCCCAATTAAGATACTTTCAGCCTTACTTACTAAGTCCATGATCCTCCGAGTGGTAGCTCTCAAAAAGTGAAGGTAGAACCCTTATAGTAGCCCTCAACCCCCTCAACCCCTAAACCCCTAAACCCTAAACCCTGAAGGTGCATTCCGAGGGCATGAGGTCCGAAATCCTGAGCCAAACTACGTGCCCTAAACAATCAATGTAGGAACCGAAGGCTAATGCTTGAAGGTTCATGGGTAGTTATAAGTGGAGATATCAGTCCCCTAATATGGGTTATAAATATTGTTACCTTACTTATAACCCAAGGCCACTATGTAGGAACCTGATTAAGAAACCCTTGGCCTGCATTAGGGCTCCTTTCAAGGGGTCTATAAGGGTTACAATAAGGGATCTATAAGGGATACTAAAATGATGTAGGAACCTGATTAAGAAAGCCTGGGTCTATAACCCCTAAAAGAGTAGGATTCAGATAAGGAACCCTAATAAAGGCCCAAGGCTTCTTAATCAGGTTCCTACATTACTTTAGTATCCCTTATAGATCCCTTATAGCAACACCCGATCGGATTCCACTTGCTAAGTGCCTTACCCTAAACCCATTCACGCTCGTACGGAACGTTCCTGTCGCCCCTACTATTGTAGGAACCGATTCAGGGACCTTGGGCCTTTACTAGGGCTCTTTACATGAATCCTACTCTTTTGGGGGTTATGGCCCCATGGTTTCTTAATCAGGTTCCTACATATTGGCCTTGGGTTATAAGTAAGGTAACTATAAAAAATAACCCGTATTAGGGGACTTATAACTCCACTTATAGCTACCCATGAACCTCCAAGTCTTAGCCTTCGGTTTCGGAAGGCGATGCTTCGCCCAGAACCGCGAAGTCAGCGTCCTGGAAGGACGGCAAACTTGGGGGGGGGGGGGGGGCTTTGGGGTTCTTAGGGTTTAGGGTTTAGGGTTTCTTAGTTCCCCAGTACCTAACCTTTACACTTGTTGGGTTCTGAAAGTTTAGTAGGAATCGGAAAGTTTAACCGGTTACCCCTGTGGCTTAATTGGGGTAGTAACGGATGCCTGTGTGCTTGCTTGCGAAGAGGAGGGGGGTGAGAGCATTAGTTGGGTTGCTAAGGCGCTTTAATTACTTGGAGGGGCAGGGGACTTAGTAAGGCGTTTATAAGTCGGGTTGCAATTAGGGTAACTCCATTTAGGGTTCCTATAACTCTACTTATATCCTACTTACTAAGTCCCATGCCCCTCCAAGTAGCGTTCCAAAATATGCCATGGAGCTTACAGAAATCCCCGTATAGGCCTTGTATTTCAAGCTACAGCCCTTCACAAAAAGAGGGCCCAAAGAGCGCTCAATCGACAGGTACTGACGTGGGAGCTCCGATGAAGACCCTGCCTCGGTAAGGCGCTGCACTTGGAGGATCATGGGACTTAGTAAGTAAGGTTTCCTTCAAAGGCTCCTTAAAGGGATCTATAGGTTTCCTTAAAGAGATCTTTGGGTTTGGGGTTTAGGGTCTAGTTCGAGGATCATGGGACTTAGTAAGCAAGGTTACAAGTATCTTAATTGGGGTTGCAAGTAGTTATAGGTAGAGTTCCCCTAATTATAATCCCAGTTTCCAAGTCCCGTGATCCTTAAGCAATCCCTCAGAACCTTTGCGACAGTGACTGTCAAGCTAATAGGCTTTAGGGTTTAGGGGTTTAGGGTTTTAGGGTTTAGGGGTTTAAGGGTTTAGGGGTTTTGGGTTTGGGGGTTAAGGGTTTACGGGTTTTGGGGTTTAGGATTTGGGGTTTAGGGGGTCGGGGTCTTGTAATCGGGTGCTGTAACAGTGACGTTGATTTGTATCTCAGGGCAGGACGTTCCTAGGCGGATTTGCGTTGAGGGTGGGGATTAAGGTGTTCATACTGCTGATGGACAAAACCCTGCATTACCCTTTATAAGGAATATACCATAGTTCCCATAGTTTAGAGTCCTTAGGGTCATGCAGGATTTATGTCCCTAAACCCTAAAACCCTATAGATCCCTTAAAGGAACCCCTATAAAGGTACCCTTATAGATCCCTTTAAAGGAACCCCAGGATTTTGTCCATCAACAGTAATGGGCTTCGAAGCTTAGATTGGAAGGTTTCTGCATGGGTTCTGCTCGCAAGGGTTGATATCGGTCCTTCCCAAGGCTGTCATGCGGTTCTGCAATGGTTCTTAGGAACGTGGGAGGATTTTGGTTACCCTTGTCTTTGGTGAGGCTTTTTTGGTGCAGGTCTGAGAAAAAGTTGTCATAGACTTGTGAGGGTCTTTAGCTCTGAGCCTCACCTCGCCCTTTATGTGAAGAATATCCGTTGAATGCTTGAAGTATGTGAATCTTCCTAGCATGGGTGAAGCAGTAGGATTTTCGATTGCAGGGTTGTGGGCTCTCCGGGTTGCTCGGAGCTTGCGGATGAAGGTTCCAGCATGTGCTTTGAAAGTAAAGGACCCTAAATAGTAGGATCTAGTAAGGGGCACCTCATTTTTGGGTCCTTATGAGAACGATCCTACCATTCAGGGTGCTAAAATTTGCATTGAATCACGGTTCTAGGGGCAGCGTGGTGTTGGGGCTTGCTGCTCTCGATCGCTTGGTTTCGGCTTTCGTCAGAATAGCAGGCCTTTCCCAACGTGCGCCCTTGCAAAACCCCTCTGACTTGAGCCCAAGAATTCGTCAACTGATATAGCCAACGGCCTCAAATCCACAGCATAGGCCTCGCAGCCTTAACACCCACGAAATTCAGCAGTCAGTCGTTTCACCCCCGGCAGCTTGGCCTGCAATGCTCCGCATCACTCAACTTTCCGGGGAGGAGCTAACGCGCCTTCCTCTCACGGAGCTCAGCGACGTGAAGGCCCTGAAGCAACGCTTGCACGAGCAGCACGGCCTGGCGCCACGCTTCAGGCAAAGGCTTCTTCACGAAGGCAACACTTTGGATGACGCCGTCAAGTTGGAAAGCGAGATGGACCTGCAGATCTTGATAGTGGCGTTCTCCGAGTCTTCGGGAGACCAGGGGCGAGAGCTGCGCTCAGCGGCCTGGGATGGCCGACTGGCCGAGGCACGGCGTGGACTAAAGACACATTGCCTGAAATGCTTAAACTCACGCATTGTGCCATGCCGCAAAAAACAAACAAGCCGTGAGACCACGGAACTCTGTCATTTCTGGGTCCTCGTAAGGAAGCCACCCACGTTTTCTCAAGCTCTCAGGTTGAAGCTCTGCTGCAGCTCCCCATGCACCCGGATGCTCCGGATGAGGATGAGGTACCGCCATTAACGTTGGCGTCTCAGAGCGGCACCGTGGAG